GTTGCATCTTACGGCCCAAACGGTCTGGTGGGAACAAAAGTGGTTCAGTACCGGGTTCCGCGGCCACACACGGCGATTATGCCTCATCCGACCCGTTGCGGTGACCTGCCGACGACGGACGAGCTGGACGGCCAGCAGCCACCGCCTCTGGTCTACGGCGGCGCCGTTGGTTCGGGCGGGATGCTTGGTCAGTATCACGTTGGGTGTCAAGAAGCAGCATCTTCGACTCCAGTGCCGCCGCCACCGCTGCAGTTGTACGCTGAGGCACCATCTAAGCGGGTGGCTGCGGTGGTGACGGCGTCCTTGTGTAATTCTGACGGTCACTTCATGCAGCCGGAAAGCAGCAACTCATTGTCGTCACCGTCGTCCATTCTTCAAAATCATCAGGCTTATGTGGTGGCGGCCTCGGCGACCCTCACGCCAAAAGTTGTCGTCGCCAGTCCTGTGTTATCGTCGTCCACAAAGCGTGTACCTTACCCGAATGACAAGTACAAGGGTCCAACGGTCAGCGTCTATCAGGACCAGCAGATCGATTCGCTCACACTCAACTGGTATTCAGTCGTCATTGAAACGATGAAGTTTTGTGTACGTTTCCGTTTGCAGGATAAAGCAGAATTGCGTGGCTGACGTCGCTAGTACGGTATCGAGGGGCGAGCTTTACGCGAACTACGTGCAGGACATTAGACAGCATTTCAAGGCGATACCTGTTTCCGCAAACATTTTCTCTAATCTCATTAGGTGATCACTTTGATAATATGCTACTTGACTGACCTTGGTGGTAATTAGCGTTTTTCATTTAGACAAGTTTTCCCATCTTGTATCATTCGTCAGTTGGAAGGCGTTAGTTGTAAGAGCAGTCTGATGGAGATAGAGGGTTTGCGCTTTATAAAACAGCAGACAGCAGGGGACGTTAACAGTTCGTCAAACGTCGTCGCTCAACACCCCCTCATGCAGCAAATGTTGTCCAAGAGTTCGTCGGTTGGTCCGTGTTCGCCTGCGTCTTCGTCGCAGTGCACCAGCCCTTCACTAAGGAATCAACAGCAGCAGGTCAGCTGTGCGATGACGAGTGGTCAATGTCGTCCGGACAGCGTTGGCACGTGCGACAGCTATAGCATGCCGAATACGCCGGATTCCGTGTCATCGTCGATCTCGGCCACGGCATCCAATGAGCAGATTGCCTCCTCGACAGCGATCACTCCAAAGAAACGCAGCGCCAGAGCCAGGAGTCGTCCGAAAGCGAAACACAGGAACGCATCATCTTCGTCGCCGGTGGTCGTCAATGGACTGCCGATCTCCTACCAGCTGGAGGTGTGCCACCCCGCCCTTGAAGCCACTTCTGTCATCGACATCAACGACATGCACGAGGCAAAGATCGTACGTGTCGAGAACGCGACGTTCGCTTCGAACAACATCTGCGATGGCGCCTTCAAATCGGAGGTATTCGTAAACGGAGGCGGGGACAGCGTCAGTGACACCGAGTCGTCGACGACGTCGGTCGTTGGGGACACTATGAGGGTGGTCAACCATCACCTGTTACACCATCAAGAAGTGTCTACTGGTAAATTCAGTTTTGTAGTGAACGGCTCTGTGGCAGCCGGCGGAAAATGCCTGTCGCCAGTGCTGGCTAACGGTCTGGTGCGACCGGCATCAGTTATGGTCAGTGCCGATACGGAAAGCGCGTGTAACGCGCCGCCGCCGCCGCCGAGGAATCGGACACCAACGCCGGACATGGAGCTAATGAAACGCAACGTTAATATGTGCCAAAAGAATATCCAACAGTTACTGCTTACTACTTCAAACAAGCACAAGTCGACCACCCTGATTGCTACCACAAGCCTCGTCGCCACCTCCACATCGACTTCAGCTAAAAGGCGACGTACTATTCGCAGGAAACTGGACGCTGCCAACGCCACAGACCAGGGCGAATCTCCGGACTCTGCCTGTGCCATCGATGACACTGCTCCCAAAGCATTCCCACCGGCCACGATGGCTTCAGAGCCGCCGAGGTGTCTAAACTCATCGGAAACGAAGGTATTTGGCAGTGGCGGCGGTAATGGATATCAGCTAGCATCGTCTTCGTCTTCGCTATCGTTGTCCGACCCTGTCAACGTCGCTTCGACATCGGACGCCACTCCTACCGCGGCAGCGGCCAGCACTTGCGTGGCTTCCGCCCCTCTAACGCCCGTCGACTTGCGCTTCATGTGCGAATGGGACGGATGTGGAAAGTACGTTGATTTTGTTTCCGTTAATACTGTCTTCGTTTATGTTGTTTTTTTATGGGAAAGTTTACATTATCCATATTTGGCTTGATCTTTTTTCATTTATTTTTCCATTTGTTTTTTAAGTTTATGGTTAATTCCCCATTTTCGATGGATACGTCTATTTCGTGCTTAAGTGAAGCTGTTAAAACGTATAAATAACCAGAAAACTGTCAGCTAGGCAGTGTTGAATGATTGCCAGAATTTAAACGTGCTGCTTTTCCTGGCCTGTTTTCTTTTCGCAAAGGAACAACGCATTTGCGTCATTGGCTGACCGTTTTTTCTGAATCTTCACGCATCGTTGTGCCTACCTTGGGGCCTGAAATGAATGCTTTCCGCTTGCTTCGTTTAAATTTGCTGTGCCATGCTTGGCTTCGCATTCTTACAGAATCAGCAAGTAAACTAGCTTTCTAACAGCATCGGTAATGAGCCTGCCCTTTTTTTCAGACAGTTTGAGTCGTTAAGATTCGGTTTACATGTTCTATGATTTTGCTGTGGCGATTGAACAGCATGAGGCCAGCATCAAGTCAGCGCCTGTTCAGCTGACCGCTAGTTCGAATGTGTCATTCGAGGGAGGTCGTTCTCTACCGTTTGATGATCCCGTGTTACAAATCAGTGGGAAGTTCTTTGTGTAAAAAACTGTGCCTCTTTTGTCGAACCTTTAAATTCTTTTTCACATAGCTGTGAAATCATGGAATGAGTTATCATTTTTGTCCGTAAGATATTACGTGGAGTGAATTGATGGCTAGCGGCGTCCTGTATGGATTTTCCTTAACCGCGTTATGGCAAAGGCGTGGCTGGCTAAGAAAAAGAAGCTGTTTGTATTCAAGTCGATTTTCATCCCAATGCTCATCTACGGACAATAGCTAGAAAACTGCGTTCCCGAGTAAAAGCGGCTGAACTTTGTTTTCTGACACTGATTGTCATGTTCGCGCGCATCTGGACTGTATCCGAACTTTAGATATTCGAGAAAGCTTTGTTGTACAGTCACTGCTTTTCCAGATTGGGGAGTCATATCTGCGATGGTTTTGGCAAGTCCTCCAGGAAGGACGGCGAAACAGCTACTACTTGTCCAGCCGACTGGCTGAATACCCGAGGGACCTTAAAACTGTCCTTGGGCAGGTGTCGCGATATAACACTTTTCCAGACCCAGGTTATCTTTTTCGTGTTATGGTGTAGGAGTCTGCCTGCGCGGCCCGAAAGGATAAACGGTCTCGAAACTGAATGACTGTGATATTAGGCGGCAAGAATAGTTTTTTGTTTATAACATAGCTCGACAGAAATTTTATGAAAGTTTATCTCATTACTAGTCTTATTTAGTCGAGACCTTAGAGAGACATGTGTAGAAATATGGTATGAAGAGGCATAAATATGACAAAGGTCAAATATTCAGCTTTGTACCATTCTCCGTTCATCGCGTTGTCCTAAAATCCGCTTTCTTGTGCTTACGTGGAAACGCAAACAGACTGAATTACTGATTGACTGATTTTGCTCAGTCCCTCTCGTCATCGTAACACATGTGCTCAGTGTAAACCATGAAAATGTCATATCAGTTTCGGTTTCGACTGATAGATTGTGACGGTCGACAATAAGGTCACAAAATGAAATTTTAATTTTTGAGATCGAAAAATTCGACGAAAGTTTCGCACTGCGTTAGCAAAAATTTATTCAGTGATATGTGGTATGGTAAATAAGTTAAGCAATGATTAAGACAGACGTATGCCAGTTTTTTAGATCCAAACATGTGGTCAAATGGCGGCAGTAAATCAGCTCTGCCGAAGCGTCCTATCCCCTGGTTTAAATGCTGGTGTTTCGATCACATAACGTGATCTATCATCAGGGTAAACTGTGCAGTGCCAAACGCTGAAACGCGGATTAGAAAATAAAAACTTAATGCATTGATCGCACGATTTTTGCATATCCATCGAATCTTAACACTTCATTTATTCATTTGAAGACGGCACAGTCTCAGTCGCCATGTGACCAGGTTTTCAACAGTCGTCTGATTTTTGTCGAGCATAAACCATTTACTCCAACTCTTAAACTGAAAAATGGTAAGCGACGACAGAGAGACACACGGAGAGACAATATAGAGGCAGATCTGCTTTCTTAGAAGAATACCTCCTTCTGCGATGCAGTAATCGGGCTCTTATTGCAAATGGGTTGAAAGACTGTCGGCTGTCACGGATGAGAGACTTTCTCTTTATACAAACGGCTCAAGGTGATGTTCACCGTGAACAAGCGCAATAAGACTGCAAAACTGATTTTTTCCCATGAGATGCGTACTGTTGATTTCTCCGCACATCTTACATACGAAGGGGACATTCGGTCGAAGGTGGACACTGTTTTGTAGAAAATTGTGATAATAAATTTAAAAAATGGATATTGATTGTCACTGTTGTTTTTAGCAAAAGTTCATAATCCGTGGCTAGGTTTATTAATAGCTTTTGAAGTTCATCTCATTAGTGCCAACGAGATAGATCCTGTTTTTTCTATATTCTGTTAAGCTAGTTAAACTGTGATGTACTTTTGTACTTTTAGACTCTTCTCCAAGATCCAGGCTGTTTATTTTCACGTATGCAAAGTGCATGTGAACGAAGACACGTCGCAGTGTAAATGGACGAACTGTGATCAGACAGTCAGGTTGAAGTGGTCAGTGATCGCTCATTTGCAGGTGCGCTAATATTTGTTTGTTTTCTGCCTTGACGTTTGATTTGTGATCACGCTGTTGCGTTTTCAAGGACGCCCATTGCAATGAGAAGGCACTACGTACCGCCGCGATCAGACGATACGAAATTTCGGCGTGCGGTCGATCGAACATACAGGAACCACAGCCCCCTCCGCCGCATCCCGGTTACCCGCCGGACGCTGCTCTAGCTGCCATACGACGGCACGCACTAGTCAATTTGCCCAAAGACTTTAGCGTAAGTAGTAAATGCTTTGACAAAAATTGCGGTCGTTTCATCACTCAGACGTTCAGGAAGGAAACGAAGGTCCTGTGACCAAGAGCATTCGCCTCACCGCCGCCCTGATCATCAGAAACTTGGCTCGGTTTTCTTCGCTGGGAACTAGGCTGCTGCGAAGGCACGAATCTCTGCTGTGTTTTCTGGCGTTTCGAAGGTTGGAGAGTTCGTCTGTGATTGCTCAGTCACTGGCAGAAATGAATGTTTCGTCGCCGCGACAGTCAGATTCCGACTCAACCTGAAAATTGAGCTCTGACTGTTAGACCGACCGAACGACCTACTCCTCAGCGCGTTTTAGACTCAGTCTCAGTTGTTTGCGAACAAAACGTCTGTCTCTTAAATGTTATCACACAGTTCCCTTTTACCAGTACGTTCCGGCGAACGAGCGAAACGATTCACCTCGATTCTGCTGTGGTGCGGCCTGGTCTGTTCAAAGAATTTCTAGTTGCGCAGCCTCGTTTGTTTCCTATGCGCAGTTAATTTATTTTTTGCATTTCCTGTACAATCTGTACAGCGATGTTATGCGAGTGTTTTTGTTCACGAAAGTTTGAAGTTTTATGC